GGAAATGATGCATTGACAGCCAGCATAGAATGAGAATATATGCTTTTTATGGTTTCAACCTCTAAAAACGTGTAAAAAACACTTGTTTTCACTGAAAAACACAGGCCTGTATTCCGACGCACTCTCTATATATATATATATATATGGTAAATAATAGGGTTTCCCCAGTATCGTAACTTGAATTAAGTTCCTTGACAGCAACCCAGTCTACTTAGGTGTTCTTGCCAGGAAGATTTTGTGTGCAGTACAGGGTTCCACTTGTGTGCTGACTGACGCGCCGCAAGACTCCGTCTTGCGCACGGCGGTTGCTGAGCCTCCTCGGCGACGTGCACCGCTTCGCCCCCATGGATGCAGCTGCCAAGGAGGTGAGCTTTCCCACAAAGGGGGGGACCCCCTTCTGTCAATGCATTTGGGTTCGCTTTTTGGGTGCGTAGGTATTTCAGCAATTGCAGCCGCGGGACTCCCATGTCTGGATTTTTAAGATGCCGTAGAATTCGGCCCTGCAAGGCAAAGCTTGATCATAGCATCTCTTGTGTCAGGGAGGGTGAGCGTTGCCAAGCATCCCTGCCAGCCTTTTGAGTAGCCGAAGGAGCTGAAAGACTTGATCGGTGAGGGCCTGTGCCTCAAGACTGTGGCAAACTGTTGGGAAGCATTTGACGCCAGTCTCTTCCTGCTGTCATGAAGACAGCCAGGAGGCTGCAGCTTCCTTGAATCTGTTGAACGGGAGCCAGAAGGTCCAACGCAATCATTTATTTCATGGGCAGGCTCATTTGCCGAGGCTGCGCTGCTGAGATTCGAGAGGAAGCATTCATGTTCTGTGCGCTGAGGTCGCTACGAGATCTCCTGCGGCCTCATCATAACGGCTGGGAGACTCCTGGCACCCAAATGTGGCAAGAAGTCTGCTAGGCGCAGGTCTTCGCAGGAATTTTGTGTTTAGCTGGCAAACCTTTGGCGCAACTTTTCTGAGGACATGCGCTCGGAATCGGAGGAGATCGTGACCTCAAGCTTGGAGTGCTAGAAGCTTGGGAAGGACGCCTCACATGTGTGGCAAAGCTTAAGTACAAATCTGCTGGAAGAATGTGTGGACCAATCGATGGGTTCCCATTCAGATGTCAGAGATTCAATCTGTTGTGTTGGTCAGCCGCGCCCCTCAACCAAGTGATTTGCAGGAATCTTGGCCCTGGCGCAGAGCTTGCCCCAGGTGCGGAAGCCTCCCCACTCTTGTGCCTCTCATCAGCTGATCTCCGCTGTCAGGTTGATGCCATGGAGGCCTTCCAAAACCTTGTGCCGCACGTCATCGGCGTCATCATCATGAACCTGATGGCAGATGAGGACCTGGTTTTCGTATTCTCATGCAAGGGTTACGCGGGGCCGGCATGCTCACAACCAGGTTTTCAGTTGTGAAGTTGATGTGGTTGCCTGAGCTTGCAAGCTTTAAATCCGGGCCACAATCTGAGCTCTTTCAGGACGAGTTTGTCCGCGCTGCCCGGGCCCTTCTGGGTGATCTACTGCAGCTGGCGTTGGAAGGAGGCAGCTTGCTCTTGGCCTGATTGTGTTCTTGTTCGTATACCGCAAATTCCGAGCTCGGCTACTGCTGCGACCTTGATGCTTTTTTTCTAAGTTAACCATGCTGAGAGAACGAAACCCTAGCCTATATAGTAGTTTCCATTTTCTTTTCCACTACAGCAATATAGCCACAATTTAACCCAGTGGGTACAAAGGATGGCTATCTTAGAGCTGCGCTGAAGGCTGGCCATTGGGTGCCATAATTTGCGGCGCTTGGGCAGCGGAGCCAGATGCAAAGTGCCAATGCTGAATTTGGGCTTCGGGAGGCTGCTGTAACAGGGACATCCTTTTGACTATGCTGTGTGCAATCTTGAGGCAATCCAGCACGAAGCTAACACCTTGTAAGGCGTGCTACCGCCTGCGAGCATGTGAAGCTCAGAGTTTTCACATCGGAAGTGTGGACTGCATATGCCCTCTAGAATGGTGCCTATGGTAGACTAGCCACATGCTTGTTCCATTTTACAGGGCTTCCTTTTGTAGAGAGGCTTGAATGCGCGGCAGGGTCATCTTATAGCGACACTTTGGGCCTGATTGTTTTGTGGTCTTGATCAAATTGAAGGCCTGAGGTCCATCAAGGGCGCTCGGGAGCCAGCAACTAGTAAGCATAGCTTCGGATGATTTTGAAAGATGCTAGCTATGCGCCCCCAAGCACTAACTTCACTACAACATGAGATACAAGGGAATTACCATGCATCTCAGGGATGTTGTAGCAGTACGTGAAACAGAGTGAAGGCATGGATGTCAATGTCAAGCGTATTCTGTCGTAATTCATATTGTGCTTTCCAGTGTCCATTGCATTCCTGCACCCTATGAAATATTTAAATACCTTAAATCCTAAACCCCAAACCCTATACCCTTTGAGAAGGTCCGACCAAAAATCCTATACCCTTTTATGAGCTGTATATTCCCTTCAAAGCATCCCAGCAAGGCGTGCCTTGCGAAAGGCTTGTGGCATGGACCTATTCGTCAGGCGTGCTCATCGGCATCCTGCCAAGAAGCCACAACTGTCATCTGGGGGATTGTCAAAATTATGGTCCCTTTTTGGGTCCCCTAAATTAAGCACCGTATTAGTCCCCGTATTAAAATTGGGACCCAAAAAGGGACCATAATTTGGACAATCCCCCATCTGTTATCTGCCCTGTCCGGATAGCCCGTAGGGATAAAAGATCCTAAGCCTTGAAACCCTAAGGCCAAAAAAAAAGCCTAGACGCAAGCTGAGCTCCTGCCAGTCCTACCAAGTACTCACTGGCAACCCAACATGGGGGTTTCCCAAAATTCGAGGTACCTTTTTTGAGGGTCCCAATGATGAGGATTATAGGTTTTTGGGGTTTATATTGGGGTCCCCCCATTTTGGGAAATTATGGCATGCGTAATCGACATCTGTGTTTCTTCAGCAGGACAGATTTCCACCGTCGGATTGAACAGTTGGCGCAGCCCCTTGGAGCAACCTCATGTAAAGGCTGAAGTGATTCTGCGCTCACTGGCCTTGGAACGCGAGAGGCAGACAGACTTGGCAGATGATGCAACATGCTCAGTGAATCTCAGTGACTTAGTGAGGCAGCTGTCCCTCAGCATGGAGGAAGATGCCTCAAAGGCTGGGCTTTCAGTGTTCCCTATCAATCTGCCATAGAATTTCGACCCTGCGAATTCAAAATCCGACTTCAGGCTAGCAGTGCGTCACTATTTGGTGGCATGACCCGGCCAACCTCAAGCGACTTATCTGAACAAATCTATTGAAACTTTTGGCCTGGGTTCTGGAGGTTGCCTGGGGGACTGGCCTGCAATGCACAGTCAGAATTTTTGGTCTGTTCTTCGGAGTGCAACGGCATGTTTTTATGGATGGCGGCGCCGGTGTTGAAGCTCCTCACCTCCGAAGCTGTGTCGGATCATGAAAAAACATCCCGCAAGCAGGATGCTCTATAATGGAAAAAATGGAAGCTACATTATAGTATATAGGGGTAATACGGGGATAATGGAAAAAATGGCAACTACTAAAGTATGTTGGGGTCACATGGGGTTTTACTGGGCTAAAATTGGTAGACGGAAACACAAGGCTGGGGGCGTGTCCATAGCAGCAGGCGGCACTTGTCAAGGTTGCGGAATTCCTGGGCGAGCATACTTAAGATCCTCAATGAAATGTTCTATAGATTTCAAAAAGACTAGCGGAAAGTCAGTCAACTGCAAATAGCTGGGGAGACATGGAAGTTAAAGTGGCTTGCTGTCAAGAACCCAGTTTAGCTACCAGAACATGGGTACATAGCACATAAAGTGGTTTACGAATCGTGGTAACTCAACCTGCGTGGGAACCTACGTCGTAAACAGCAAGCCGTAAAGTGCACGGAGATGGGCTTCCCCGTGGTCGGGGCGCTGCTCTCGCTTTTGACTGGTGTCCTGTATGTGTACGAGAACACGGTATACTTAAACGTCTTAAACAAGCTGCCGACAGATATGGCTGCTGTTGCAGCTCTTCAGACGGAGAATGCCTTCTATTATTCCTACTACCAGGAGCTCGTGGATAGCGAGTCCTTTGCTGAAGGTTTGAATCGAATTGTTTGGGATAGGAGGACCGAGTACCCAGACACGTTGAACGCGATTCGGCGGTTCAACATCTACCAGGAGATCTTGCTTGCGCTGGAGTTCCGGTTTCTCCGTGACTTAGGGCTTCAGTTGCCTCATCCTTTCCACTTTTTCCGGATGAACGTTGTACTTCTGAATGGACTGGGTCAGGCAACTCTTGGGCTTCTCGCCGCTGAGATTTCTGGAAACCCACTGGCTGCTTTGGGCTGCTACCTGGCTTCTGTTCTGAATCGATTTCAGATCAGCCGCCTGGGAAACTACAGTAGCTCAGACCTGCGAGAGCTCTGGGGTATCCCGCTCCTTTGGGTGCAAACCTACTTAGTTTGGCGCATGCTTTTGGTATCTTACAGGACTCGGGCGCATCTGGGCCTTCGACTTGGCCTGACAGTTGCAACCTTCGCTTTCATAGTATCCTGGCAGTTTAGCCCTTTCCTCCTGCTCTTGCAAGCCACCGCCCTCTACTTTGTTTGCATCGTCGCTGGCTTCGAGAGTATTCGGCCAGCCTTTGTGGACATTCTGAACATCTACAGCATGTCCTTGGCACTTGCAGTGGGTGTCCACTTCGGCAGTCCATATCTGCTGACCTCTCCATTCTTCTTCCAGCTTCTAGCTCTAAAGGCGTCCACTTGCATTTGCTGCTGCCGTGCTCGGATCCAGAATGGCTGGCTTGCATGGGTAGGTCGGCGGCTAGCGCATGTTGCCGAGGGTCTCATTGCTGTCATAGTATTCCTGCTCGTTCGAAAGGCCCTTGCGCCTTTTGCAACTGCAGACACTCACGTCTATGAGATTCTGTGCACGAAAGTGTCGGCAATCAACGACATGCTGCCACAGCGCTTGCAGTTATCCGCCAATCAGCTGCCGGACTGTGCTGAGCCCAGCTTCAATGCAAACCTGTATCTTATCATGGGTGTGTTCAAGCTTCTGGAGTGGTCGTCCGCGGAAATTTACATCAAGACAACTGCAGCTCCGGCTGCAGCCGGAGGCTGCATGCTAATCATGATTCGCTGCGTTTCCCACTGGTTTGGTTTGACGGGAAAGGCAAAAATTGAGCCTGAAGTGGAGCAGGCAGAATCAAGTGTCAAGGAAGGCGCCGTCAACAACAAGAAAAAGGAAGCGAAACCGGCCAAGCAGGAACCCAAAGCAGGCCACAGTCGCAACTCTTCAAAATCAGTATCACACCTGCCCTCCTCGCCGGTGCAGGTGGAGGCTGAAGATGCTGCTTTGTTGTTCTTTGCGATGCAGTTCTTATTGTTCCTGCTTTTGGGTAGCTTGGTGAACCGGCTGCGTGTGGCCTTCGGACCGCCTATGATGGTGTTGGCTGCTGCTGTGATGGGGCCCAGGCTGGCACCGGTATTCCTGCAAAACGCTTTCCCAAAAGGCTTGACGACGCTTTTGTGTCTTGGTTGGCTTGCGCACATGTTGTGGATGGCAAGCATGCTTCCTTGCATCACGGAGGCAGAAGGGATATGTCAACACATGGCCGACAAGTTCTCAAATGATGGAGACCTGGTAGATTTGTATGACTGGATTAACACGGTTGTGCCGCCAGGGACACCTGTGTTGGCCTCCATGAACTTAGCTGGAAGCATGAGGGCGTTCACACACGTGCCGATGATTATCCATCCACAGTTCGAGTCTGAAAACCTCCGGAAACGCGTTCAACGTGCGTACGAGCTGTACAATTGCGGCTCAGAGGAGTCCTTCGCAAAGACGATGCAGGAACTGAGTGCCAAGCTGGTCATCTTCGAGTACTCGCGCTGTTTCTTCACGCCTTACAACCTGGATGACAAAAGAAAGAATTGCAACTCCAAGAAGCACAAGACGGAGGACCTTATGTGCATGAAGTTGCATGCTCGGTCCAGGTTCTTTAAGCTGATGTTCATGAACGGGAACTATGCTGTGTTTCAGCTGAGAAAGCACCCATTGACCAAAAATCCTGCTCCTCGCGCTTCGGACGTGCACGGCTGGTTGGAAGAGCCAGAGACTTGGAAGGACTACGTGCAGACTTGCGAGAAGAACCAAGGCAAAGGTTCTACCGTGTAGTTTGTCCTTGGTTAATTTTTGGTTTGGGAATTGCGCTTAGGCAAATGGGTTGGGGGAGTTGAGTGAGGGTCACTCCTGGCAGTTTTTTGCCCGTAATCCACAACCCTGTGAGGCAGCCACTGCGGCCCGCGGCTAATGGAGGCTGCCGCCCACTTCCAACATGGGCTCAAGAAGCCGAAGGCGATTCTTTATCATTTTGCTGGTTTTCAAAATCTCTAGGACTGCCGTTGAGCAACTTGGTACAGCAGGTTAGGCTTACATTTGGAGGTCCAGCTTCACAAGCAACGGCAGTCTTGCTGCCAGGTGTTTTTGCAGGGTGAAAGGTGGCCGATTGCCTCAACTCTCTGTAGTTCCGTCGAAACATTGGCTATTGTTGAGTTCGAGGCATGGAATGGGATCTGAAGGTGGAGGTTTCATCAAACCAGCGTGAAGAATATGTGATGGGGTTTAGTACAATTGTCTCGGAGGTTGCCGGAACCGGTCGCAGACCAAATGCCTTAGATGCTGTCCCTATGCTTGTGACAAATCTCAGGTTGACAATGTCACAACTGAGTAACTACATACTAGTACTAGTAGCACTTTAAGTAGCAGCTCCTGTTGGTAGTTTGTTTAGTACAATTGTCTCGGAGGTTGCCGGAACCGGTCGCAGACCAAATGCTTTAGATGCTGTCCCTATGCTTGTGATAAATCTCAGGTTGACAATGTCACAACTGAGATCAACTGAGTAACTACATACTAGTACTAGTAGCCCTTTAAGTAGCAGCTCCTGTTGGTAGTTTGTGTTCTCATTTTGTTTTTATTTAGTAAACTACATAAAGCACCTTTTCCCACTTCAGCACTACCCAGTGGGTAGGTGGCCGCGGAGCTTCGGAAATGGGCCATGAAGGTCTTCCTGGACAATGGCTCCTTTCCTCCTGGTCTTAACCCACTGGGATCCTACTGGTGGTTAGTAGGGAATAAGGGAATACGTTAGATAGGGACTATATCGGGATAATATACTCTTTTATTCCCTACGAACCACTAGGAAGCTACAGGGGCTCTCCAAGAATTAGCGACAGCCTGGTGGGAGTCCTTGTCATAGTGATTATGGTATTTGGAACGGAAACCCACAATTCTGGAAACCCTGACGTCCTGGATTTATCCCCAACTGCCTAGGCAAGAATGAGGTGATAGGTCCTTGAGCGTCAGTGGGGAACTCGTAGCCCTGGAAATCCTGCAGACTTGTACGGTAGAGCACCGCCATATTCAAAACCCTAAACCCTAAACCCTAAACTCAGGCTATGTGAATTTCTATCAAGCACGCTTCCTGGACGTGGACGCTAACAAGCCGCAGGAAGCCAAGCCATTCTACGACAAAGCCTTGCGGCTGCTGCCAAACAATGTCACCAGTCTAGCCTTAAATCCTCCAGGCAGCAATTCTTCAGCTAATTCAGCATAGAGCTGTGAGAGAAATCTGTGCAAGTTGGTCTACTGTTTGGGTTTGGGGTTTGGGGTTCGAGGGAATAGCTGAATAGCCCCCACCGTGGCACCAAGTCGTATTGCCTTCAGGGTTTGTGTGCGTTTTGGTGCCGGATGTTGTTTCCGAACGGTGCTTTCGGCTATGTATGGGGAGACATGTGGAAGGTTTCGTGCAAGAATTGTTGTTGGCAATAGCTCTGGAGAAGCTTGGGTCGACCCATTCGGAGCCAACATGACGACTGCCAAGCCCTCGAGTAACCGCCACAGTTCATGTGACATCCCAACAGATGCCTTCGCTGGGCTTGTCATGCCCCGACTGACGTGAGCCATAGTCTAAACTCCTAGTATCTCCCTTAATAACACCGATAGTGCTCCCCTAAATAACACCCTTAAAGCAGTTCAGACCCTAAACCCTATATAACCCCCAGCCATCACATCCAGGTCAAAGTGCTTACGGAAGTCATTCTCTTTTACGATCTGGCGGTCCAGGACTCGACGTTCTCACCGTCCTTTGTGGCCCGCAGGTCCAGACCAGGCCAGTACTGGAGAGGTCTTCTAGGGTTTAGGGTTTAGGGCTTGGGGTTTAGGGTTTAGGGTTTAGGGCTTGGGGTTTGGGATTCAGGGTTTAGGGTTTGGGGTTTTAAGGTTTTAGGGTTTTGGGTTCAGAAGCTTGAGGCTCAATTTGGTTCTAGGCAGATATGTGGCATTCTGGAAGCATCCGCTGGGAGTCCGAAAGTTGCTATAGAAGGCCGTGCGACGGCAACGAGGGGCTGTGAATGAATGATTTGGTAGTATCTGGTAGTTTCCCAACATATGAGGACCCCAATCTAGACCCCAATATGTTATGATCCCTCTTATGGGGATCCCCGGAAAGGTACACCTAATTATGGGAAACCCCCATACTTATTGCATGCTGCTCAACCGGCTTTCCTTCATTTGGTTGTTGTTGCGCTCCCGCAAAATCCAGTGCGCCGAGATCTAGCCAGCAGGTAGTTTGGAACTGCTGGTGGGTGCAAGGTCCACAAAGTTGCAACACTGTGGGTGCAACAGTAGGCAGGCATCTGAAATTCGCAGCACGTTGGTGCAGTTCCATGATCCCCAGCTGAAGAGAACGACATGTCTTGAGCGTCAGGCAAGGCTTGGGAGAAGCCGCTGCTGAAGCTTTCTGGCCCGGGGGCGGGTGTCCTGATGTGTGGCCAGGCTGCATGCTCTGGAATGGATGGTCAGATCGTCTTTTGGGCTAGATTGTGTTGTGAGTCTCCATAGATGGGCATAGGAGCTGAGTTATCTCAGTTGTTGGCCTGTCAAGTTGTCAATGTTTTTCTTCTAAGCAGTCATCAACAATTGGATGAGGTGAAGCTTCAGTTGCTGCCAAAACGGGTGGTCATGGGACACTGAGCAGAGAGCTTTGGGCCCGAGCTCGGGAGCTTTCCCCTCTGAGCCAGTGCGTCAAGAACAACTGGCCGATTATCCACGACGAAAAGAGCCATGATGACAGTTCCTACAAGCTGGAGTACACACCATGGGCGAAGGTGCAGATGATGATTGCTGGTGGCGTGGGTCTTGAAGTGGGCCCGCATCACCAAGCAAATGCCAGATTTCTAGGAGACGAATCCTTTGTGGTATGGCCACCAGCCAACAAGAGCACTTGGTGAGATGAAAGAGCCAAGAAAAGATTTCATGCCTTCTTGCGCTGCTAATCGTCCTTTGCAGGTTATCTCCGAGATCAGCCATGTGCTATGTTATCAGCTCTGCATAAGAACTGTGCCAAGGCCGTGCCAGCCGCCAGCGAAATGCCCGGAAGTCTAAAACACGCAGCCTGCCGGACGGTTTCTCGGAGAGTGGGCCAGCGCCTGCTTCCAGTTCAAATGGCAGCTCTAACATCTACTGTTTTGGCTTGCCAGCAGCATCGGATCCTCAACCCTCGCCGCCGCCGGCTCCAACACTACCCCGCGCCACGCGCAGACGGGAGCGAGCACGGCATCGAGCATCTTGAGAGCAGAAAAGTTAGCTTTGTGTCCCCCTTAAGTCAATAAGATATGGGGTATATGGGGATCTTATTAAAATATTCCCAAAGCCATATTCTATCTACTTAAGGGGGGCTATAGCCTTGTGTGGGCAATGCTTTTCATCATTTCTTTCCCGAAGCCCTGTCTGGTGCAAGAGCATTGCTGCAGCAACATGTAAGGCTCAAGCAGAATGATGCAATGGAAGACCGCTTGCGTAGAGCTGTGTGGACATCCACGATTGTTAGCCCGAGAGATTGGAGTTCAGCTCTTCCAAGATAAATGCATTCAAAGAAAAACCTCCGCTGTGAGCCTCAGGCAGCTTGACAGGCTGCGAGGTAAAATGAGCTAGTGGCCGTGGCCAAGTTCACATGCATACTTTTAAATATGAAGACTGGCATAATGAAGAGAGCATGAGTTCCGCGATGGGCGCTGGGCAGCAGTAGCCATCTGCAGACTCCGAAGCACACGCAGGGCATCTTTGCCCTGCTGGCGCGATGTCTTCAAGGGCCAGGAAGGGAGCGGAGACAGTGGATGAGCTTTGCACTGAGCTTAGTCTACACGTGCATGCAGTTTGAAGCCTGCTATGTGCTTGTACACGCTATGATCATGTTTGCAGGTGAGCTCATTGAAGGCTTGAACCAGGCAGAATGTTTACAGATTAGAATCGTGACAAGTCTTCTGGAGAAAGGCATATGCAATGCCATCCCAGCCGATCAAAATTGTTGAGCACTGTTCTGCATGTTCAGAGAAAATTTGGGCTTTGAGCCTCTGGGTTGTGCACGTGAAGAAGCAGTGGCAGCTGTGTCCATGCACTATCTTACCAGGTTGTGGTTGCGCACTGTGCGTCGTGGCACCAACAGAACCAGCAACATTTCTCTGAAAGTCGAATTAGGCTTGAAATCTGTCATTGCCAGGCCTCCCCAGATCTCTTGCGAGAAGCCGCTGGTCGAATTGATGTCGAAGGCTTAAGTGACACGACGTGACACGCTATCGGGGTAGTGGCCATCTGGATCGTACTTTAGGCGTCCTTTCTGGAGTGTATGGAGTTTGGACATATGTTAACATTGTAACTGTTCGTGACCCAATTTCGGGTTCTCCCTCGGACTTGTTGCGACATGCCCTTGAGCACTGGAACAGCACTGCAGTTCCAAAATTGTTGCTCAGGTTTCTTGTTCCTTGTTTGAAAGACATGAAAGTCGTGGTGCCAAAATAGGCAGAGAGAAGTCAAGTCAAGCATCACCCAGAGGCCTGCGGCGGCGAGCAGGTGAACTGGCAAAGCTGGGCCGGGGCTCAGCCTCTACCAATGGGACTGCACCAGCATCTTGGCATGTCGGAAAGAATCAAGCCGTTGCTTGCTTCGATTACAAGTATAAACACTTAGAGGCGACGCGCAAACAGTGACCCAGGTGCCAGAGGTCCCTGGTCACCCTTCACTGCCGCTGCTTCTTTCTGCTGGTTCCCTTGCTGCTCTTGCAGCCCTTGCATGGGTTCCGGCGCTGAGCTACGACTTCGAGGGGGGTTCCTGGGCAAAGAACCTTCTCAAGTCAGCATCTTTTCTGGATGCCGCTCCCTCGTGCTACAGAGGCCAACTCATCAGTCTGAACGGGCACTAGGTTTGTCATGAAATTGCGTTGCTTGGACTGCCAACCCGCAAACCTTGACTTTCAGATGCTGCGGCACCTTTTTGCACTTGCCTTTCTTGGTTGATGCCCTGCTTAACTCTGGTGGTGTGAAAGTCTTGTTTGCAAGCGAGGCTATGATAGAGTTCAAGCAGAGACTGTAGACATGCCTTCGCTGCATTTGGAAGAGGTCATGGGCTTTGCAGAGCTAAGTGCTGAACCTAGCTTTAGGCCGAGCGGTAAGGTTACGTAACCACAGACCTGAGGCTTCTTCATGGATGATGCCATGATCAAGAAGCTTGCCCCGCTTACTATGAGTTTGGTTTCAGCGCAGCAGTACGGATTCAGATGGCATGTGGCAGGGACACGTGACATCGAGCTAGATTGGGCCATCATTCACTTGCTTGTACTGGGCAGCTCGCCCCAAGGAAAAATCCCAATGTGTATGAAGAGCTCAACTGGCGCCGCCTCTTCCGAACGGACTACTGGGGGCTGGACATGTTTGAGGCTGTTCCCCCCTTCACCATGACTTGTGTTTTACATTCGACTGTACTTGCATAGCTCTGGGACGCAGTATGGGTGACCCGTCCCAGAGCGCAGTATACTTGTTGATTGGTCTCCTTTTTAAGTGTCGCAGCTTCGCTCTGCCAACTTTTTCGCCATCCTAGAATATCCTAGATAGTTCTCAGTCGCAAGCTCGTTGCCTACAGGGGCCGTGGACCCACAAGTCGTTCCGACCCTTGACAGTGCTGACGTTCCGCTGGAACCATGCAATGCACGAGTTCAGTGGTTGCTGTGCGGCAAGTGGGATCGACATTGCAAACTCACATATGTTCCAGCCATGCAGCATTGCACCTGCTGTTCGCAGCGTGTTGACTGAGGTTCAGGCTTCCACATCGTTAATATTATGCTAAATGCGGCCCCTTGGCAGGAATTTTATGATAAAGCAGGGACCTGACTGTGCTACACGTTGCACGTGGTAGTGTACAGTCAATCTTTCTCCAACTTCCTGTGTCGGACATGATCGGACATGCATAAGGTGGGCTCTTGACACTCTGATGTTGTCGAGGCATGTGCTGTACTCCTGATGCTGTTTGGCCAGCGTGTTGGTCTCAGCCTGGATTGGGCTCTGCTTCTGGGAGCGCTGTTCTTGGCGCATCCCATCCACACGGAGAGTGCCGCTTGGAGTTGCAGATCGGGCAAGCGGATTCATTTTTGCTTTGGCCGCTATGGCTCAGATTCGCATTTGTGTGCTGAGGTGTTGTACATTGTGGGCAGGGCCGACCTGCTTTGCCTGCTTTTGGTACTCTTAGCGGCCCTGGTGTATGCACCCTGCATCAAGGCAACCTTGCTCTCCAGCCAGATTCGGTTAGTCCAGTGAAGGGTCCGGTTAGTGGTTAGGAGGACCTCCCACCCTGTAGCAGGGATAGTAGTACCGATATTAGGGTCCTCTTGTATTCCTATTAAACCACTATTACAGGGTGGGGGATCCACCTGAGTTAGTGGCCATGAGCTCTCGGGCCGGATCAGGAGCGCCCTGGCTTCGCTGTTCTGGCGCCTCTTCTTTCGGTCGTGGCCTCCGCCCTGCTTGTTGCAGCAGGGCTCTGCAAAGAGACAGGCCTGATAAAGCGCTGGTCCATGAACGGGGCAGAACCATGTGGTCAGGGGAGTCTTGTGCAAGAGGCTTCTGCTTCTTTGGCTTACTGGCTGGCTGGGAAATCCTCAGAGGCGGGGAAAATGCATTTCAGACGCTCCGCTGATTTCTCTGATTTGGGTTGCCCCTTCTTCGCAGCGCAGCCCCGACTGTCATGGTTGCATCGACAGGCTTGATCAGCACCAGCCAATCACATGTCCTGCGTGTGTTCCGCCTGCTGGCCATCTTGGTCATGGGAACAATTGCCTGTGGTGTGAGAGTTTGGCGCCCTGGTGGCAACGAGATGGATTGGACTGCCAGGTTTTTTAGAGGTCCACGTGGTTGTTTGGGTGTCAGTTGCCACTTGCCTGAGCGAATTAAACCGTGCCAACTGATGGATTCAATTCTGCAGACATGAGAGGGCAAACATCACACAAAGGCGCAGGTGCTACTTCATTGTAGCTAGCATGGCGTTGTCCTGTAGACTGTAGGTGATGGGTCCATGTGTTCAGGTACACGGGAGGGACATCCATCGACAACATGGATCCGCACAGCAATCCAGTGGCTTCTTGCCGACAGTATGAGATGGGTGGGCCATGGAAGAGGGCTTTGCGCATCCCTTGCGTTCCAAGGCTGTTCACAGCGATTGGTGGGTCCGCTTGCGGAGCTACGCTCTACTCCACGGTATTTATGCAAAGCTCCTGGTGTTTCCAACCTCTCTCAGACCTTCGGAGCAATTAGTCTGTGGACTCATGACATTGCAAAGGGCCCTTGCTGGTGTGACCCTGTAGAACAGCATGTAGGGTTTGAGCAAATAAGGCTATGACTACTCCTTCGATGCGATTCCGCTTGTTGTTGATGCCAGTGACCTGCGCTTGCTGCTGCCGGTGACCGCCTACCTTGGCTTTGCGATCCTGCTGGTCTTCTCACTAGCTGTGCCCTTGTCTTGCGAGCCTTCAGAAGTGGTAGCATTTGAGATTACTAAGAGCTCCTGTGGTGTCCGAGAAGTTGTGTCGGCGCATTCCTCCATTTGATTCCGGCTTATTTCTCATGCCCACCAGGTACTCAGACCGTCAAGGAGCAAGTCCCCAGCGGAGGGTCCCATCATTGGCCTTGCCATGCTGATATTGAGCTTCTTTCCAATGCGGCCTGACATTGCTAATGAACTGGTTTGCTGCTATCATCCACCTGTTGCGTTTGTTAAAACGGCAGCATCAAGCATGGTGGAGTACCACCCCAACCGTACCTGTGAGGTCCAACATCCTTTTCCCGGTGGGCACCATGATCGGCGAAAGACTGCTGTACATCCCCTCAGCAGGACACGAAGTCACCCGTTTGCTTCGTCTCACCTCAAGAGCTGCCATGGTTAACAGGTGGTCGACGCTTTTCAGGGCGAGATGACTTGCTCAAGAACAGCTTCATCTGAGCAACGTGTGCGGACATGTGACATGCTTCAGGGCTGCTGACCACACTGGTGTGCCTCGCCCAGCGGTCGCCAAGTGTGCGGCTATTTGCATCTTTGCTGCGCCATTGCTGCATTATCGTGTTTTTCCCATGTCGATTAGCCTTCGGGGGATGCATCCCCAGAGAATGCACTGGCCTGTCTCGGTCCAATATGCTCCAACAGCTTCTGAGAGTTATGTTCAAGTTTCTGTCGGACTCAAGCTCGCTGCTGCTGCATGGAGCTGACCTGATGAAGGCTGGTGGCGGGTGGGCTGGCTGTTTGGCGCTGTGCTCTGCGAGTTCCAGCACACTGCGTGGCAGAAAGCATGCACATGATAGGATGTTCCTTGCAGATGTGACAGCTTTGCCAACAGTACGGGACGGAGGCCAGCTAAATCAATCTGTAAGACTTGGGCGGATTAGTTGGAGGAAACAATTTCCGGCAAGGCGTTTGTGTGCCAAGCTGAGGACTGGAAGGACTCTGACAGCATCACCACTGCAGATGGGTTGACTCAGCTGCGCTCAGCCGATCTGGCTGCACCTCAGTGAACCTGCTGTTGGCCCGAGCATCTTGCATGTCTCAGTTAGAGGCGCTGGCGGTTCTCTTAAGTTCTCTGACGTTCCCTATGAGGCGAGGGTGCAGTTCAACCTTGCCAACGTCTACTTGAAGGTGCCGGATTGAGTGTTCGAATTTACCTCTGCTGAGAAAAAAGATATGTGCTCGACATCTAGGGAATCCAGGTTATGGGTTCAAGCTTTCCGAGGTCACTAGCGTGTTTGTCAAAGAGCCTTTTACGTGAGGCCAAGCTGTATGACGACGCCCTGGCCACATATCAACGGTCCATCACAATTGATCCCACCGAACCTGGCTGGCAGTTGAGTTGCTGCTAGTGCTGGCTCGTCTTTTGGCATGTCTATTGAACGACGCATGGTTCGGGAGCTCCAGAAGATTCAAGTTGAGGATCATGATGCCCTCCCTCTGTACCACGCTGGCCAGATCCTCTTTTTCAAGGGGCAGCATCAAGAAGCTGCCAGATACTTGGAGAAGGCCAGACTCTCCAATGTCCATAGATTGAACCTGCTATGATTGAAGCAAGCCGCACAACGTAGTCGCATCCGACAAGTAGAAAGAAAGGCTGATGCTGGTGTCCAACCAATCAGTGAAACCTCGGGATAAATGAGCCATGGGAAGTCGCTGCAGGAGGAGCAGCTATACTATAATGGGTTATAAGATACTAGAATATACTATAATGAACTAGAATAGTTTGCGCATCTTGCGCCTGCAAGGCGGTCAATGGCTTCTTCAGCCCTTTGACGATACAGGCGGGGTGCTTTTGCTTCACTGCCTTGCCTGCATCCCAAATGGACGGCTTTCCAAAGGCGCAAAGATAAGAGAATGGACACTACTATAGTGTAGTGGGGTTATAGTGGGAGAATGGAAAAGAGAATGGAAACTACTATAGTATATTGGGGTTGAATTGGGATCTTCCCTGAAAAGCTGCCTGTTACAAGCACAGCGATGTGGTTGCTACCTGCCCGTGGGAACAATGATTATTCCGCAAGATAGTCCATACATGCCCCGGTGCAGGAGGAAGAGATTTGGCATGACTATGCGCTGTCGCTCTGGTTTGTACAAAAACCGTGCCCGAGTTGCAATTGGTAGCTTCCCAAAATAATCGAACCCCAATTTAGACCACCAAATACTATAGTCCTTACTATGGGGATCACCAAAGTGGTATCCCTAATTTTGGGAAACCCCTAATCCGCAAACCCTATATATATATATCCCGATATAACCATAGGGTATATATTGCGGGTATATAGAGATAAGGGAACCTCCCGCCATTCCCTGCCCTTGTTCTGTCAGAGCGGGCGGACAGCTTTCAAGAGATTTTTGGGGCATGAGCTTCGTTGTGCAGAAGTTGTCTTCTACTGGCCAGTGCCCAGGCAAGCTTCAGTTGCTCACTTCCAGAAGGCCCTGGCAATAAACCCAGTCTTCACCAAGGCATCTGTTCCGCATTCAGCAACCTGCACTCCCTTCCAAGTTCCAATGGTCCAAGTATTGCGTGTAGGGGCAGGTTCCTTGTGTTTTTGGAATCACCGAAAGAAGGCCCTGAACAACATGGCCTGTGCTGCTGGGCTGGGCGCCATCACCGGCATTCTGTCGAAGGAGTATTACCAGCATGCCATCAATTCCCTTGACCAGGTCGCGGGGATGCGTGGGTATATACAATATGAGCTACAGCCTAAACTCCTCGTATCCCCCCTGAAAAACCTTTATGATGCTCCCCTACTTGATCCCCCATATAACCCTCTTTGAGGAGTTTAGACTATAGCTTATATGACACAATCATTTGGCAGCGTCTGGCAGTGGGGGCATGCTAGCATGCTGCGCGACAGCAAGCCTTCGACTCACCGTTGCCGCTCTCACTGATATGGCGGTTTCCCAAAATGAGGGGTACCATGGGGGTCTCTGATGTAAGCGATCACCGTCTTTTGGGGTCTATGTTGGGTCCCTTATTTAGAGAAACTGCCATACGTAATTCATGAAAAAATCAACAGCAATCCTTTTGGGAAATTGTGGCCTTGGCAAGGCAGTCCGGATAGATCCTGGCAACATCCTATACTGGCGGAACGCAGTTGCTCTGATGCTGGCAGGCCCTTACTTTCTGGCCTTTGATTAGCTGGGAATGAAGGAATGGATCAGAAAATGGAAGCTACGATGATGGGATATAAATTATATATAGGGATTAGATGCGGATCCAGTCCTTCATTCCTAGCTAACCGAAGGCCAGTTTTGAGTTGATCACGTCATTTTCGCAGAGTCACAAGAAGAGTCTTAAAGAAGCGCTTTGACTTTCATGTCTCCACCCTTTGATGACATGTACTATCATGCCCTGCATCTTGAGCCCCCCCAATGCAGTAATTACATATTGTGCTAGCAGTAGAAATTGCTGTTATGGCCATGCGTTTTGGTCCTCAAGCAGCTCCGAGGGGGTGATGAGCAGCGAGCCACGGTCACGTGGAATCAGCTGGTCTCGATGGACCCGCAGGGCGCAGGGCAGCCGCAACTAGGCACCAATCCAGAAGACCAACGCAAGAGGTGTTACTACGACGATGTTGACAACAGGCGAAGTTTAGCAGTGCCAACCAGGGCCAGTAGCCCACTTGTACTCATGGCAACTAATCATCACAGATAGGTCCATGGAAGTGAAACTAGCAATTTCAGCAACCGTTCCAATGTTGCCTTTCGCTGCCCAGCTTTATGTCTGTTCATTTGGGCAGCTTGCGGGGTCGTCCTCATTCTGCATCACCCCAGCTTTTGCCAAGGCAAAACACAGCAGCACATGAACATCTGCAGTTAACACCGCGAAGTTTCTAATCCACACTGGGGTCTGGTGCCGGAGAGGCTACGAAGTGATGTAAAGCGCATGGCTATCAAGGAGGTGTCAAAGTTGTTAACAGTATTCAGAACAGGAGGCGAGATGATGACATGGAGGGGTTGTTATGCCTCTCCGCTTGCTTATGGGACTGCTAAGGCCAAACGACTGCAGCTGGGAGTTCTACTTTAGATGATGCCTGCGATGAAAAATACTTCAGAGGTGCATGTGGATGATGGCAGTGGCCGGCTTCCTACAGGCATGATACGAGGCAGTCCAAGCAAATCCGTAGTTTCCCGCCGCACTGCACTGGCTGCACGAGCTTCAAAGGTCTAACATAATACGCTGAAGATCGCTGAAGCTTGCTAGCTTCCCAATTCTGTGTTGTGACAATCCTAGAGGGACTCGAATTTCCTTCGCCGCAATTTTCGTGGATGCTTGGCTGCCACAAACATGGCTGGGAGCTCAGTCGACCATGACTGCCAGTCTGACCGCATGGTGTCCCGGAGCGAAGGATTAGATGTGCTCCATTCTGAATCTCTGATCCTCAGTCCCTACTCCGCACGGAGTTCTAGGGCAAGAGCATCTCAAGGCATAAAGCAGGAGCCCCGCATCGCCTTTTAGCTGCGCACCGGTTCCCATGTTGCATGTTTGATGTGATGTTAGCAATTACAAGCAGCGAGTGCATTGAGATCAGGCTACCAAATCCCGTCAGCGCACATCCTACACACCCAGATGTAGTCATGCAAGCCTGGCCTGCTGAAGTGCCATGACATGGACATCTACAAATGCGGAGATTGGCGCTTGGAATCAGGACCGTGCATGGGAGGGTGCTTCATGTGCGGCGCAGGAGAAGTCAGGGTGCAGCACAGTGACGTTCTTGGAGCCTTCACTAACCGTTCCCCACATCAATCAAGCCAACAGTTGCCAAGCTCTTGCTTGCAGTCCACTTTGTCATCTAGCATCAGGGTTAGATTGTGTGGCCTGCAGGCCACAGTCAGGGTTGTCTCACCCAAGGGGAAGAATTTCAACCTCAAGCCCTGTAGTGTACTGTTGCCTTCGGAACTTGCAGGCATGAAAAGCCCAGCTCATGTCAAATGGGACTGCCTGGGCCCCTTTTGGCCAGGGCGAGTCGCTTCGGCAGATTCACAGTGATGCTGCTGAGGCCTTGGAGATCTCTGCAGAATCGAGAATCAGTGCTAAGTATCCCTGATACATGGAAAGGACTTGTCGTTACGACCTTTTCAGTGATGCCAGTGGTTGGCCTGTCCATTCACTCCCCACTGAGATTGCGAATACGTAGGCGAAGCTTGAAGACACTCTCGTGATATGCCTGCTTGTTCAGTTAGCCTATCCCTTTATGAAGGTCCGGAACTTCATCCGCTGCTCAGTTGCAAACTGAAAATAGAAAGTCCTAATGTCAGAATGATCTCAACCGCTTTTTGCTGCTCATTGCTCTGAAAGCCCTGCAGCCCAATGGTGATCAGTAGTTCGTCTTCTGGCTCACCGAACTTCCTACTGGCGCTGGCCTTGTTTCTTGGTTTCTTTCTGCGGCGGTGTTGATTTTGGTGGTCGTTGCCATGCTTGCCGTTCTTGTGATCGCTGGGGGTTTGCAGGTCTTGCTCGTACGGACACGATGAGTTTTCACATCATATCCATTTCGTTTTGGTGTTAACTTACTTTTCCGGCACCTGGGCAACGATATGACAATTTCTTTTGCTAGCCGGATTTTGTGCGAACGTACGCGCAGTCGACAACTCCTTAACTGTCTAGGCCTGCCTGCCATGCAACTGCACCTGCAGGTCTCTTTTCGTATCCGCTTGTTGACAGACTTGCCCCTGAGCATGCTCGATGTGCCAACTGCTAGCATTGCCACACATACGCTACGATTTGCCTTCCGATTTGCCATTCCTGCTGCTTGACAGATAGCCAGTGCCATGTCTGCTCCAAGATTTATTGTTTGAAGGCTTGCCATGTGTTTGTTCCTTTGCGGAGATTTGATGAGGACACCATGGGCAGACGGCCCACCTCGCGTCAACTGATCTGCAAGCAGTTATGGTCCAGATTCCGCAAGTGGAATGTGTGTAGTGTTGTCACCGAAACAGGACATAAAGCGGAGGTGGGTTGTCAGAAGTAATGTCATGTGATATCCTGAATATGCTTGGTGGTGGATTGTGTCCGGAGCAGAACCAGAATCAGACTCAACTATTTCCATTCCAGAATGTGCCAGTGGTTTAAGGTTTAGAGTCTAGCGGTTGAGGGGTTGAGTGAGTGGCCACTATGGAAAATTGAAGTGGTCCCGGAAGTCGGGAAAAGGTCGACAAGCTGTTCGGTTTTCAAGTGGTTGGAGTGCGCGAAGTGCCAGGCCATACATGCAGCTAATTGATCATGTTTCCTAGCCAGTGTCTCAATCTGCGATAGCCACCAAACCCAGTATCTTTTTCAGTGAGGTGGGTCAATCAAAGTGTTCGTGGGCCCGAGACTCTCGCCCCGTCGCCGCCAGCACCAGTGCATCCCGGCTTGGTTCTTCTTAGGAAGCCTGTCCACCCCAACTCGAAAAGCTAATTTAGCATTGCGCGAGGAAGGGGAGCCCAAGACAGGCTTTCCAGAATACCAATGAGAGGGGATATGCACCAAGCTGCATCCTGGAGCACCTCAGGATCTCACCGTCACCTCCGCAGGCGTGTATTCTGCTTTGCTTGAGCTGTGCAATGCTGACACAGTCTGTCGATTGGTATCTTGCACCTGGATTCCTTGGATATGCTACTAGTCTTTAGTCTTGATCTTTGTGCCCGAATTCGCAGATTTCGTGCAGGTCCACCAGAGCTTCGTTCATGGAGGCCGTGCTCTGCCAAGACGGCGGCAGGAGACTTTTGGACTTCAGCGATCAGATTTTTTGGGAGCTCATGGTTTCCCAGTAGCAGCAGGAGAGCTTCCCTGGCAGCAGCGGCGACGGCTGCACCGCCTACATGTTCCCCAGCTAAGCATTTCAGCAGACGCGCAAGTTCTAGATAGAAACATGCCAATTCAAAGCAAGGCAGGTGCAGCTGCCCCCGTCACGCCTCTTCAACGTGGCTTCGCGCGGGTGACTGCCTTGGTGACCGGAATCTACAGCTCACATCACGACAGGCGCAGGTGACCACGGCCTTTTCCGGCATCGCCCAGGTGAGCAAGTCAGTATTATTGGATGCTATTGGATGTACAGGATGTTCCACTTATCGAACAAGGACTGACCAATGCAAAATGGGTTCGCGCAAGTAGGGAACGAGGTCAGCAAAAGCTCCCACAAGGCATTCCCAAGCTAAGGTTGCCGAGCGGCGCCCAGCCGAAATGGTGTTTTGAGCGTATGCCGTCGCTGCTTCCGCACCCTCTGATGCGTAGCATGACGGCAAAGGGAATTGTCAACAGATGAAGCACGTAGATGTAGACCATCCATGGCAGTATAACTGGGCAAGCTTGTGGTAGCCAAGGTGACCAACAGGTGTCTCGGCTACAGGTTATTCCTTGGCAGTTTGAAACCTGCTCAAATATGCCCATGACCTTTTTCATATGCATGAATGAAGTCGCGTGAAGCAGCAAGAGCTCAGCAACTTGTACCTGGCCTGCACACCCCACATGCTGAATCCCATTCCATCAGATGCAGCACGCTCCGCAAATAACCAACATTTGTCTTCTAAGTGAGTCGGCTTTTTCCGTCGTTTAGCAAGCATAGCAGGTGGGGAGGTCGGTCGCTGGAGTCCCTGTGCGCATTGCCTCGGAAGTGCGAAGACCAGCGGAACCTTGGATGATTTCAAGCTCATGAGCAGATTGAGAGCCCTCACCGAGCCTGCACTATGGATTTGGTGATTTTTTGGGGGAGGTGCTTCATGCTTGCCGTGTGTCGTTCGTCTCCTGGCTCAGAGCCGAGTGCTTGACCTACATTTTCGGATGATGAAGTGTGAACATTGCAGACATAGCAACCATGTGAGACACCGCCTGCTGAAGATTCCTTCGACCACAAGCTGCACTACACCCAGCAGTCAGTAGTTACGGAGTTGACAGGAGTTGACCCCTCTAGTGGGCTCGAGAGATGCACGGCCGTGTCAAGAAGGACGTGGTTGAGCCAAGCCCAGAGGAGAAGGAGAAGCAACGGGAGCAGGTTCGTACAGCTCGCGGCCTCTTCGGCAAGCTGCTGGAGCTGAGACAGAGCAAGGCTTACAATGAGCAAGCCTTGGAGATGACGTCCAAGGCGCTTCAATTTCATCCTGAGTTCCCCACGCTGTGGGGCTATCGGCGTGAGCTGCTTACCAGTGGCATGATCAGCAAACCCTTGCGTGAGCTTCTGGAAGTGGAAATGAAGCTTTTGGAGAAGGCCGGCAAGAGTCCCATCAGCAGCGTGGGCCACGATAGGGAGGATATCATGAGAAAATCCCATCGCAAAGTTGTTTTTGAGACTTGCCAGTTTCACATAGGCCGCCCTACCAGAAGAGATATTGTCATGATCCTGAACCCTGGGTCACTTGACTGTGATAAAAAAATGCTGGGTCTGTAACAGGCCTTGGCGGCCATTCCGCAACATAGGCTTGTACAAGTCACAGAAGTTCCTGCCCTGCTTGCACCAAGCTTCTTTGTGGAGCTTACCTTACTCAGTATATCAGCCTCTTTGTTGGCTGGTTTCTGTTTTGAGCATTTGCAGGCCAGAAGCGATTTATAAAATCC